GTGAGATTCTTCTCCTCCCAGTGGATCTCTGAGATGCTAAGTTTGGGATTAATTTTCAGGTCCTATCACACTGCACTGTGTGAAATACTTTGCCCTACCTTGCAAATGTAGAAAGCTACTAAGCGTTCTTGGTAGGAGGGAAGTCACTGATTTCCATATCCGGGGTTGGGGTTCGTTGTCATTAAGTGTCTGGATATTGACAATTATAAAGCACATATGGGTCCATCTTTTAAAACGAATGAGATTTTCTGACAGATAGGAAAGCAGCGGGGAAAATACCACAACAGAAAAAAGAAAACGAGTTTCATTTTTGAGAAGGTCTCTGGTGTTTGTGGTGCATGAATCTCCTGCTATTGATTTGGACTCTGTTAGGAGACAGACAAATAAAACTACAGAATGTAATGTGAATCGATTTGGCATTCAGCAGACTATTACCCGGATGTGACTTTTAATCCCCCGCGCCCCCGAAAATAAGAATCTCCAGAGAAGTTAAAATTGACCATTCACTTATGCCAGCTGCGCCCTTAGTCTGTCTCCATAATGGGCTAGAGAACTCTGTGTAATAATAAAAAACAGCGTGTATGCAGGGAACAGGTGGATTATTGGTGATTATTCTGTCTCCACTGACCATTCATTCTTTTTTTTTTTTTTTTTTTTTGCTTTTTGGGTCACACCTGGTGATGCACAGGGGTTACTCCTGGCTCTGCACTCAGGAGTTACTCCTGGCGGTGCTCAGGGGACCATATGGGATGCTGGGAATTGAACCCGGGTCGGCCGTGTGCAAGGCAAATGCCCTACCTGCTGTGCTATCTCTCCAACCCCAGCCGACCATTCAATTCTTAAACATTTATTGAGTCCTTAGCCCAGAGGGACAAATAGAAAGGCCTGTCCCCAGCCCTCTGAGGGCACCCATCTGATGGGGGAAGGACTCAGGCTGGCGGGAAGGTTTTGGATGGTGGCGTTGGAGATGGGCAAGATCTCGGATGGGACCTTGTGAGGGTGGTTCACAAGGTCAGCCATGGGGGGGGGGGGTCAGATCTCAGCTTTGCAGAGACAGGTTTGGGGAGTCTGGCCAGAGGTGCCCGGGCCCCGGGACCCAGACCCAGGGGCTTGCAGCAGGAAGCCCTATGCGAAAGGCCACCTTTCTCCCACTTAGGAGAGTGCATTGAGTGGGCCAGTTAATCATCGGTCAGAATAGATTGCCCGTCTGTCCGTGCTCTCCAGTTAGGTCAAGAAGGGAAGCACGTGATGAGGAAAGGGGTTGGTGAGTCTGGACCCGAGCAGAGGGAAGAGTGGGGGGCCTTGGTGCTAGTAATGTGCGTCAATCTACCTCTGCCTTCATGACAGATGCCCCCCCGTGTCTGGTGGGACATCTTTCCGGCTGGCTTAAGCTTCTTCTCAAAACCTGGGCGGTCAACTGTGAACGAGGTGGCAGCTTCCGAGAAGACAGGCGCACGCCACTGGTTCCCGTGGAGTCTCACTCCATTTTTCCCCTGGGCCCCAGGAAATCCCAAGGGGCCCACAGGTGGAATTTTCATAAAAGGGGGAGGGTCCTGCACCAAATTAGGGGCCAGCTAGTAAGATGGGGGGACACGGGAAGGAAACAAGGTCAGAGGGGCCTGGGTTGGAGAAAGGTTGAGCAACGCTTGTAGAAGGAGATGGTGTTACTTGCTCTTCATTCCCTTGGGGAAAATGAGCCCTCACCGAAGGGGAGGCCGAGCAGGCCCCACTTTGGGGAGGAGACACGAGCACTTCCAGGGCAGGCTCGTCACCCGCAGGAGACCACCTCAAGCACGGCCGACGCTGTGTGCAAGAGAAAAGGGGCTCGAGGCAGCATTGAGGCCAGCCGGGGGGACACGCACGGCTGACTTAAGTGGCCCCCTTTTTTTTGCTTTTTGGGTCACACCCGGTGATGCACAGGGGTTACTCCCGGCTCTGCACTCAGGAGTTACTCCTGGCGGTGCTCAGGGGACCATATGGGATGCTGGGAATCGAACCTGGGTCGGCCGCGTGCAAGGCAAACGCCCTACCTGCTGTGCTATCACTCCTAGCCCCGGCCCCTTTGTTTTGTTTGATTTTGGTTTTGGTTTTGGGGTCACACTTGGTGGTGCACCAGGCTGAATCCTGGCCCGCTTGGGGCACCCCATGGGGTGCCGGAGATCAAGCCAGGGTCAACTGTGTCACTCAGAGCCCTACCCACTGCTCTACCTCTCTGGCCCCTGACCACCCCATTTTAAGGAAATGGATTTTATTTTCGAGGAGTCTATTTTGTGGTGGTGGTTGTTGTTGTTGAGGGGGTTTGGTATAAGGGGCACCTCCCAAGCAGTGCTCAGGAGACCTAGATGCCCTCTGGGTGATTTTCTGCCAGCCAGACCACAGGGAGGTGCTACTTGTTTCTCCTGCTCGGGAAGAACCGAAACAGCAGTAAAGTTGCTTTCATTTTCAAGGGAGTGCTATTGGGCCTCTATTCCATGAGGATTCCCATCCCCCCCCAAAAAATGTAGAATCTGTTTCCTATTATTTTTCTCACCTTGCAGGGGTGTTTGGGAAAGTGTGACAGAGGGAAACTTGCTCGAGTTGGTAATTCCTCTGGGAAAATGTTGTAATCGGTCTCTCTTCCTATTGATGGGAAACGGGTGGAAGTGGCCCCAGTTGTTGACCTGAGTTTTTTCGTGGCCATTCTCTCTGTGCTGTTTGTGGTGGTGCTGCTGGGTGTGGGGAGGGCCTCAGCCTGTGGTGTTGGGGAGGCAGGGGGGGACACAGAGCCCCAGAGAACACACGCACACACACACACACACACATACGCACACACAATGTGCTCTACCACTTCCACCACACCTCAGCCCTAACAGCTTAAAAGTGTTTTTTAGGGCTGGAGCAGTAGCACAGCAGGTAGGGCGTTTGCCTTGCATGCAGCCGACCCGGGTTTGATTCCCAGCATCCCATGTGGTCCTCTGAGCACCACCAGGGGTAATTCCTGCGTGCAGAACCAGGAGTAACCCCTGTGCACCACCGGGTGTGACCCAGAAAAGCAAAAAAAAATTGTATTTTTAGGGGCCAGAGAGATAGCCCAGGGGTTAGGATGCTTCCTTCATGTGGCTGATCCAGGTTTGATCCCTGTCCGGCCAGGAGGGATCCCTGAGCACAGAGTCAGGAGTAGCCACTAATCTTGAGGTTGGAGAAATAGGACAAGCATTGAAGACACTTGGCTTGCACACGGCAAACATACCGTTCAAATCTCCAGCACTGAATACAGTCCCTGAGCACAGAACCAGAAATACTCTCTGAGCACTGGCATTTGTGAGCACTGCCAGGAGCAATCCCTGAGTATAGAGCACTGGCGGTGTGGCCCAAATCTCAGTTGGCCCAAATAAACTGAAATAAGGCTGTGGAATGTGAGGCTACAAAACACACCCTTTTTAAAAAACGTGCATCGGGCTGGGGATATCAGTTTAATTTCCTGATCCCACGGGATCCCCTGAGCACTGTTCAGTGGGCCCCAATGGCCTCCAATACTTTTTTCTGTGACCCGACACTGAACTGGCGGCCTGTGTGACTGGACCAAGTGACCCGAAGCCCCTTCAACTTGGCTTGGGCGACCCGAAAGAAAACAGTGAATGGAACAGGCAGGTCTTCTTTCGTTCAGTAATTCGTTTTTCCCAGTATCAGCCCCGACTTGGACCAACATTGACGAGACCCGAGCATCACGGTGCTGCTCTGAAGTGCTTCCGTGGTGACCCACAGGTCTCCCAGGGGCATTTTGTGGGGGCCAGCGTGTCAGTGGGACCCCTGCTATGTCATTCACCCAGAAACCAAGCCCCGGGTCTGGAGGGCCTCCTGCAGACTCATCGAGGGGATGGTTCTCCCCCCCCTGAGAGCAGAGCTCTCCCTTCCCTTCCTCTCAATGTGGGAGCATCATCCTGGGTCTGAAACAGGAACGAAGAGTCCTTTTCAGCACAGGAAGAGACGAGTGTGTCGGCGAAGTGGAGCGAATACAGACACAAGAAATAGCGCTGGCAGAGAGATCAGCCCTGGGCGGGGGGTGGAGGGGAGGGATCCCAGGCTGGGTTCAGGCTCCTGCCAGCCGAAAAAGAAGAGATGCACCAGCCAGAGCCCCGAGAGCTGCTGCCATGAGCCAGGAAGAGTGGGAGGGGGTTTCCCGGCATCCCAACTCCGTGACCAGCATGCGGGCAGTGCTCAGGGCTAGTCTGAGGGGACAGTCTGCAGCGCCCCTCTCTGAAGCCCACTGCTATTTCTCTGGGGGGGGCACTAATCACCCTCAAGACAGCATTAATGAGGGCAACGGGCACCTCCTACCTGCCAGGTTTTCTTGTTCTTAGGCACTTGGCAATGAACAAGATGATGTTTGAGGCAAGGAAGGGATGGGCGGATAGTTGCCAGGCCAAGAGGAGGGACTAGATGCCCTGAGCTGTGGGCTTGGAAATGGTTGAAAGGGTCAGAATTATATGATATCAGTGTACACACACGCGTGTGCACACACACACTCATGCACACAATCTCACACACACACGTACATGCACACACACACTGACACACTCACACATGCCCACACACTCATACGCACTCACACACGCATGCACACACACTCATGCATACATATACACACATGTGCACACATGTACTCACCCACTCAAGGCAAATGAAAGGCTGTGGAGTGGAATTGTGTGAATATGTGTTGTGAGTGTGTGAGTGTGTGTGATCAACCCCTAGCAGTGGGGGAGAAAGTGTTCCGGGCTTCTGCCCTGTTTGCGGAGTGGATGGACGACCTCAGAGGGTCCCCAACTTCCAACTGAGGCTTCATCTATAGTGCCAGGAGAGGTCTGTGACCCTCAGGCACCAGGAGCTGTGGAGTTTGACTGAAGGGCCAAGGCCGTCCCCCCGGGTGGGCAGGAAACCAGGGCTCAGAGGCTGGTGCCCCAGACGTGGGGCTGGCACCCGCCTTCTGGTCTAACCGTGTCCTTCCTGTGCTTCCTTTGCAGACGGCCATTCTGAGGCGGCAGGGCCGGTACATCTGCTCCACCGTGCCCGCCAGTGCGCAGGAGGAAGCTCAGAGCTTGTTCGTGACAGAGGTAACTTGCCTTTGGATGTTAATGCGCCTGTGGTTCGGTGGTTTCCCCTTCTTACCACACATTCACATACATTCTCACACACACACACACACACACATGCATACACACTCACACTCATACGCACTTACATGAACACACACGCACACGCTTACATACACTTACATGTGCACTCACGCACCCACACACACACGCACACACAGACACTTACATGCATACACACACACACACAAATATACACGCCCTTTCCTGGTGTGTCAGCGACACCCTTGAGGAAGCTGTCGCAGCCTGTACAGACGCTCACTGGGTTGTCTGGACGCGCACACACGAATCCTGCGGGCATCTCGGATAAGGGGCCTCTGTGAGTGCGCTGAGCCCGCAGCTGGCTGGGCTCCTCATTGACGCTGTCTGACGGCCTCAGGCGCCCATTCATGTGGGCACTGGCATCGCGCGTGTTTACCCTGGGAGCTTCTGTTCCAGACGGGTCCAGTGTTCATGGCGCAGCAGGTGCTGGGAAGCAGATGGCAGCCTCCCTGGTCAGTGCCCGCTGCTCGCTGTGCTCGGGACATAGAACCGTGTCTCGATGTGCTCCAAGGAACCGTGACTGCGTGTAGATTGGTTCCTCTAGGAGCGCTGCAGGGATACAACAGCGCGGAGGGCGCTTGCCTTGCATGGGGCCAACCCAGGTTCGATTCCCAGCATCCCATATGGTCCCCTGAGCACCGCCAGGAGTAATTCCTGAGTGCAGAGCCAGGAGGAACCGCTGAGCTTTGCTGGGTGTGACCCAAAAACAGAAACAACAACAAAAAAAAAAAGGAAAAAAAGGAAGGAAGGAAGGAAGGAAGGAAGGAAAGGGAAGGAAGGAAGCAAAAGCAAGCAAGCTAGCTTCTCCTGCCCCAGCCCTGCCACCAGGCATTTGCTTCTCCACACCCATGCCCCCCCTCCCACCCCTACCCTCACCCCCACTCCCATCCCCACCCCAGCCACCCTCGGGCGTTGGCTTCTCTTCCAGGTGCTCTTGGGTTAGAACTAAAGAGCTGTTCTAATTTTGTTTCTGGAAGTGCTCTTTCATTAAAAAAACAAATAAGGGAATAAAGGATATTTTTTACCTGTTCTTTTTCTAACTGAAGATTTACCTGTGTTCACCAGTCAGTTTGCCTATGAGGAGGAATCGATGCTTTGGTAAGCGGAGATCCACTAAAATAGGATGTTCAGTTTCCGTTGAGATATTTGACCAAATTCAGAATGTCTAAAAAAAAATTTTGTTCTGCTTTTTGGCCTTTTGTTTTTACTTTTTGGGTCATACCCGGTGATGCTCAGGGATTACTCCTGGCTCTGCACTCAGAAATTACTCCTGGTGGTGCTCAGGAGGACCATATGGGATGCCGGAGATTGAATCCAGGCTGGCCGCTTGCAAGGCAAAGCCCTACCCTCTGTACTATCCCTCTGGTCTTCTCTGCTTTTTGGGTTATAGCTGGCAGTGCTCAAGGAGGTACTCCTGGTGCTGCTCTGAGTACCAAAGGTGATGCAAAGGTGATGATGGGCATGGAACCATGCTTGGGGATCATATAGGATGCTGGTGATCGAACCCGGGTAGGGTCCGGTAAGGCAAACGCCCTACCCACTATGCTATCACTTTAGCCCCTGAATTTTTTTTTTAAGTATTCACTCTCACCCTTGTGCAGAGGTAATGTCTGAACTCCTTAGCTATGCACCAAGTAACATTCATTCCAGACACATTAGCCAGCTGCACTTCTGTCTTATCTGAAATATTTACTTCCAAGCAGGTCCTGGGCTGCCTGGGGCCCCTGGACAGAGCCTGACCTTCATCTCATCCCACGTCACAATCTTTGTCAGCGCTCAAGTTGTGTTTCTAGGTCGAGTCATTGCCAGAGAGGCAAAATGTCCCTCAAGTCTTAAAAATATTTACAACTTTTTTCAGTGTTGCCGACCCTCTTCCTAAGAGCATGTGGCGAGAGCCTTATTTACTCAGTTTTCCCTTAAGAAAAAAATTCTTTGAGGCCACACCAGGGGTGCTCAAGAACCACTGACTTGTGCCAGGGATCACTCCAGAGGAGGCTCAGGGGACCACATGGAGGCGGGGGGGGGGCGCTCTTGGGATCAACCCCAAGTCAGCCACATGTGAGGCAAGTGCCTTCCCACTCTCCAGCTCTCCGGCCCACCCAGCTGTTGTTAAAGCTGCAGCCTTGGAGGGCTCTGCCCACAGTTCTGTCCTGAAAGTAGGGGATGTCTTACAAGGCCACGCTTTGCAGGGGGGCCCACATCACCCAGGTGCTTTGAGGCCCTCCTGGCAGGGTGGACTGGACAGAGTTTCTCACCATCCTCTTTCTGTCCACAGAGGGCCTGATGGTTTTAAACTCATACACACACACTCACGCATGTATACACACTCATACACAGAAACTCACTGACACTAATATACACACACTCGCACACACTCAAACATACTCACTAACACACACTCATACATACACACATTTACACTCACACAGTCATGCATACACACATTTAATACTCACACACTCAACTCATACACACAAAAACTCATACACACATACACTCATACTCACACTCACAGTCACACTCAGACATTCACTTATACACACAGTCGCAAGTCACACACACACACACACACACACACACACACCTCTGAACTCAGCATAACTTCTGACTCTCATTGAATCCTGCAGTCTTGTGCCTTGTCACACACGAAACCCCCCAGTCCGCCCCCATCTCCAGCACCAGGCGCCGCCACTCTGGTTCCCGACTGTGCGCATTAGCCCTTCGTCACATCCCCAGAGGCGTGCCAGGCACCTTCCCTGTCCTGCTCGTCCGCCCGGGAAGTTCTCGGGGCCGGGGTGGGGAGGGTATTAGATGAGTGACTCGGGCCACTGAGCCTGGTTTGCGTCTCTGCAGCTCTCGTAACTGCTGAGAGCCACCGTGGAGGGCATCTCACATGTACACAATCCGGAGCTCAGAGCAGGCGGGCCTTCAACACATGCACTCATTACGTACTTTTATGCTAATTTCTTTAAAGTTTGTTGTATGGGGCTAGTGTCAGCTCATAGCCACTGGTGCTTGACTCCTGGCCCCATGCTCAGGGCTGGTGCATGCAGGAGGTAAAGCACCTTTAACCCCAGTGCTATGTTATTTCTTTATTTTCACAAGAAAGTACATTTTACTGGTGTTTTGGCCAGGCCAAGTGGTGTATAGGGGCTGCTCCCAGCTTGGACCAGGCAGGGCCAGAAATTGAACCTGGAACTCCCCCTCATTTGGGTCCTCTCTGGCCTTATCTTTCCCTGTGCCCTTCTCAGGGGCTCCTGTCAGTCTGGGTGACAGACACAGGGCATGCAGAGGCTCCATACGCACACACACACAGACACATATGAACACACACACAGATAGATACAGACTGACACCCACATAGGCACTCACAGAGACACTCAGACACACATGGATACCTATGTGGAGACATACAGAGACACAGACACACATACACACCCAGATACACACATAGACACAGATAAACACATGAACACACATATGCACATGGACATATGTTCACACAGACACACATGAATGGATACACATGAACACGCACATAGACATGCATGGATACACACATAGACACACATGTGATGTCCTGGGGTCACTTCCCCCTGGTCACCTCACTGTGTCCCTCACATGCAGGGGAAGAACTGAGAGCAGATCTGTGCCCTGTGGCTCACAGAGCTAACGGCCACATTGGTCAGTGCCATCAACAGGTCCCTTGTCCACACATGGCTTTCAGGTTCTCGTTGGAGAAGAAGGCCACAGGGTTGTGAAGGAACAAGCGTGTGAAGTCAGGAATGGCACATGGTGTGACATCTGCTCACAGACCAAGAGGTCACCCACCATCATCCCCTGCACTGGGCAGCCCCCAAGGTGGCTGTGATGCGGTGTCAGGTGGGAGTGGGTGGTGACCCATGCAGACGTGGCCTGGGTATCCGCGCGGGCACCCACCGCGTGGCCACCTTTCTCCTGATCTCTCTCAGCCTGTCTCTCTGCTCTCCTAAGTGCCCTCTCTTCCTCACAGTGCATCAAGACCTACAACTCGGACTGGTTCCTGGTGAGCTACAAATATGAAGATTATTCCGGCGAGTTCCGGCAGCTTCCAAAGTGAGTTCGGGATGATAGCACAGCAGGAAGGCCTGCGGTCTCGCCGTGCTATAGCTGGGAGGTGTCCTCATCTCCTCTGGGTTCCGTAACAAATGTTCATCAGGGGTCCAGTGGTGGTAGGACATTGGCAGGGCCTCGATACTACAGCTCAGATGGACTCGGGTGGTACTGAGAGCGGATTGGACTGGTGGTACTATTAAGCAACGGGGTTGTTACGACGAGCAGGGGTGGGACTTGCGTTAGGACTGCAGTAATAAGCGCTTACCTGATTTAATTAGGTCCAGTGATTTTAATTTATGTTTAGTACCACTGATAAAAAAGCAAATGAGTGTTTTGTTTTTGTTCCCTGGGTACCCAAGGTTTACTCCTGGCTCTGTGCTCAGGGACCACTCCTGGTTAGCTCGGGGAAACTATAGGGTGCTGGGGATTGAATCCAGGTCGAGCCCATGAGAAGTAAGCGCCTGACCTGCTGTCCTATCACTCTGGCCCACAGTTGTTTTTTCAGTGAGGAATAGAAAAATAAATGTGAGTGCATTGAAAGATACAACGTAACATGTTTTACCTTTAAAAACAAACAAGACAAAACACTCAGGGGCTAAAGTGATAATTAGCACAGTGGAGTGGGCATTTGCCTTGTGTGTGAAGGACCTGAGTTCGATCCCCAGCACCCTATAGGGAGCCCTGAGCACTGCTAGAAGTGAGCCCTGAGCACAGAGCCAGGAGTAACCCCTGAACACCACCGGGTGTAGCACTCTCTTCCCACCCACCTCCAAAAAAAAAAAAAACAATAATAAGGAAAACAAAAAAAAAAAACACTGAGATACCAAAAAAATATATTGAATAAAAAAAAATTTTTTTTAAGTAAATTTGGATCAGTGCGTTAGTATAGGAATTAAGGCACTTGCTTCGAATGAGCTCACTCTGGCTTGATCCCCAGCATCCCATATGATCCCCGAGCACTGCCAGGAGTGATGCCTTATCTCTGCCACTGTGCGCACCCCCCCAACCCCCAATCCATACCCTGGGAACAACCAAACAAAAAAAGTAAATTAAAGAGTGCTGCCCTAAACTCTTCAGGCTGTTTCAGATACTCCCAAAGCCAGCGTGTGTCACTCACGTGCTATCTGCAGGTCAGCGGGCTCAGGGACCACTGCCCGGGGCCCTGGGGACAAGGTGCCGCCCAGAAACGGGGGGCCTCGGGCCAGTGTCTAGGGAGTTGGCTCTGAGACTTGGAAGCAGAGATAACTGGTCACATTTCAGGAATAACCGTGACCTGGTGTGACCCTGTTCCTGGCTGTTTCCCGTGTCGGACCCCTGGCAGGCGCACTGAGCTGCCTCCTTCCTGGGTGGCCCAGCTGCTCCTTGACTCTGCCCCTCCCTCCCGCTGCCCGGGCCCTGCACAGCCTCAGCCAGTCACACTCCCTGAGCTCCTCCTTGGCCTCCCACATCCCTCAGCGCCTGCCTGGTGCTCCCCACTGGCCCTGGGTGGCCTCTCTCCCCTGACCGTCCTGTCCCTGATGTCCCCCTGCTCCAGGGTCATTAACCATGTGAGACAGTCAGGGACTCGACGATGCACTTTGTTCTGCCGGTGCTTTATTTCTGCACCGTGATGAGTTTTTCCAGCTGAGCCCCAGAGTGTGGGGGACTTTGGCAATGAAGGACACAGGTTCTTGGCCGGAGCCTAGGGTGTGGGGGCTTCTACCTTGCGTGCAGCCCACCCAAGGTTCCCTCTGCATCCCATTGGGTTCCCCAGCCCTGCTGGGAAGGACCCCTGAATGCAGAACCCGGAGTGGCCCAAATACCAAACTAACAAGCAGAAGGACAGAGCTGGAGCAATAGCACAGTGGGTAGGGCATTTGCCTTGCACGCAACCAACCCGGGTTCAATTCCCAGCATCCCATATGATTCCCGGAGCACCGCCAGGAGTGATTTCTGAGTTCAGAGCCAGGAGGAACCCATGTGCATCGCTGGGTATGACCCCAAAAAGGAAAAAAAAAAAAACAAGCAAAAGGAAGTGGACTTTAATATCTGCCTCTCCCAGGGCCCTTGCCCCTGGCCAGTGCCACCCCACAGGCCGTGAAGGCGTCAGAGACCGCCGGCCCAGGAACCCCAGGAGAGGAGGCAGAGAAGGGAGCTGAGCGCTGTCATGGTCCTGGTCCTGCTAGCTCCATTTTTGCTCACACCAGGGGTCCTGAGTGCATTAAATACACTCCCACCCCCCCACCCCACCCCCAATTGCATTTTCTCTCCTAGGAACGGCCCCCTCAGAGTTTCTCTTCCGAACCTCCAAGGATGTACAAACATTCCCGTTTTAGGATGCTTTGGGCTACCTCCCAGCCAGCCCTGCTCCCCTTTTCCAGAGAGTGTGCGGGGTCGTAGGGAGTCAGGGTCGTCACCCCAGAGAGCAGGGGGGTGGCCCGTCTGCCCCAGGGAAGCAGGGGGCTGGCTCTCCGTTGGTCCAACGCCCACGTGCACATGTGAGGCAGGGATACAACTCGCTTCTTCTCTCTTCAAGCAAAGCCATCAAATTGGATAAGCTCCCGGTGCACGTCTACGAAGTTGACGAGGAGGTCGACAAGGATGAGGTAGGGTGGGCGCTGGCAGACTGGGACCCCTGGGCAGATAAGCAGATTGAGTACCTTAAGCCCGAGCAGGGGTTGGAATGTTGCTGGGGCCGGCACAGGGGTTTTCTCTCCTGTGTTGGGGGAGGGACGGAAAAATGGCATCCCATGTCTGTTTGTCCTGAGATCATCTTCAAAGGCCTGGATAAGATTCGGCTTCGCTGCTGAAAGCGATCAAGATTACTGAGCCCTTCCCCGCGGGTTGTTTTCCAACAGGAAATCTTGCAGGGTGTTGGCAGGGACCAGATCTCAGACGGCTGTTTTGTCTGTGTTGGCTTTGGGAGGAGCCTGGGGCCTCCAGCCTTCTGACCTTTCCCCTGCCCCCTGGAGCCATGAGAATGGCCAGAGAAGTGGGCGTGGGGTCACCAGACCCTTGGAGTCGGAATCGGAGTCAGTCGTGGCGACCTCCTCAAAGACTCAGCCCCAGCCCCTGTCTGCACTTCTTGTGCTCCCTGACTCAGTGTTTAGGATGTCTCTCTGTGAGCCTAGAAAAATCAGGGAAAAGAAATATTTTTAATTGTCATCAACCACTTCAGAATAACAGTACCGACTGGAGGCAGCAAAATTTATTTTCAAAGCCGCTTCGGAGGCAGTACGTGGTCATCCACAGAGAAAAAAAGCGAGTTGAGAGTTGGTGCTGATCCTACCACGATGAGAACCCGCGGGGCTGACGCGCTCCTGTCCTGAGCGGCAGGTCCCGTTCTCGATGACCGTTCATGTCCATGCAGGTGTTGGGCTGGCCAAAGGCAAAGCCCCAGAAGGGTCTTTGAGGTCAGGCAGCTTCCTGCATAGAGAGAAAAAGGAACTCGGTGGAGACAGGTCTCAGGGCGCGGCCTGGCTAGGAGCCCACTCGCACCCTCTCCCCTGCCTGCCTGCCTCTGTGGGAGGACCAGCAGGGCCCCTGGGAGCAGCCTCAGCCTGGGTGGGGTTCAGTGTTGGGGTGGCGGGAAGCTTCCCAGATGGCATGTTTCATCTGCCTGTTCCCTGGGTCTCCAGATCCTCACCTGACATACCGGGAGGGGTGGGGGGCACCTCTCCCATGATGCTTGGCCTCAACTCCTGGGGGGGCCTGGGGACGGAGCCCCAGCTCCTACACACAGGTTCTGCTCACAGCCTTCAGACCCCCCCCTCCCCCACTCTGCCCCGCTGGGTCCATGCGGAAGAAACTTGTGGCCGCGGTGGGCCTCTCCTGGCCCCCTGCCCACCTCCATAGACCTGGCCTGGGCACCTCCTGGGGCTTGGCTGACTCTCCCCTCCGCTGCTGCTACCTCTCCCCCTTTGCTCTTCCCTCCCACTCCCTGCCTGCCCACTCACCTTTCCCTGAACTGCGCCTCTGGGAAGGTTTCCAGGAATTTGCTTTCTTTGTCCTCTAACTCTGGGGAGTGTGGTCGGAAAATATTTTCCCTGAACCCCAGGTCGCCGTGGGGTGTGGTCCGGGTTGTTGGCCTCTGGCCATGTGGATGGAGATTGGGGTGTGGGGGACTCAGGCCCCATTGTGGGGGGGAGAGGACGGGTGGGGGGAGGCCCGTGGGGTTTAGTGTGAGCAGTGGTGCGGGGCTGACCTCCCCCGGGGACAGACAAGCTCACAGCAGGTCCGAGAGGGAGCCTGAGCATGGGGTCACTTCTGTCCTAGGATGCCGCGTCCCTCGGCTCCCAGAAGGGGGGCATCACGAAGCACGGGTGGCTGTACAAAGGCAACATGAACAGCGCCATCAGTGTGACCATGCGGGTAAGGGGCCCCTCCCTGACCACCCCCCGCCCCACCTCCAAGCCGCAGCCCTGATGTTCAGGAGGAATGCGGAGCATCTCGCTGGCAGAAGTGACCTCGGGAGGCCAGACACCTCCTTGGTCATCGCCGGACTGAGCACCCCAGCTCCCCACTCCCTGGCATCGCCCTCCACCCACCAGCATTTGGGGTCTCACAGAGCTGCACCCCCTCCAACCCCCAAGGGGGGACTGAGCCAGAGCTGCTCTGGGGAGTACTGTCCACTGCCACAGTCCAGTCAAGGGGAAACTAGGGTCTCTTGGAGAGGTGAAGACCTGGGGAGGGGGTGCAGAGGGAAGAAGGCAGCCAGCAGGGGCTCTGGAGGTGAGAAACAGAGTCCCAGGCACAGGACGGGGAGGAAAGAGCGGGATGTGGGGAGAGGTGGCAGGGGTGGAGGGGAGAGAGCAGGCGTGGGAGAGGCAGAGGCAGGGAAGGGCTCCAGGCCCCTGGCTGGCTGTGCCTTCCTGTCTGTGGGAGCCCGACCGAGGAGCATCTGCCCTGGGTAGTGCTATGGTTGCTCTCAGGGAGGGCACATGCAGGGTGGGACAGGAGCTCTTGGCTCCGTAGCTGGCCCGGGGACTGTATCCCCAGGAGGGATGGTCAGCGGGTCAGGAGATGGTGGGCGGCCAGGGCAAAGCTGTGTTCTGGACACGGGGGAGCCGGACTTCTGGAACACTGCATTTCTCACACAGAACCTGTGTGTGTGTGTGTGTGTGTGTGTGTGTGTGTGTGTGTGTGTGTGTCTGTGTGTCTGTGTATGTGTGTCTGTATCTGTGTCTCCCTCAGTCATTTAAAAGACGGTTCTTCCACCTGATTCAACTTGGGGACGGATCCTACAATTTGAATTTCTACAAAGATGAGAAGATCTCCAAAGAGCCCAAGGGCTCCATCTTCCTGGACTCGTGCATGGGGGTGATCCCGGTAAGTGTGCTCAGGACAGGCCTCTCCTCAAGTCCTCTGCCTCGGACAGCCCTGAGGTACTGGCGATCTCAGCACACACTGTCACCCAAGTGACAGTGTTTGTGGCCAGGATAAATACCCAGCTTACAAACGAGTAAAGTTCGTTTTTCGACCTTTTCTAGTCACCTACTTTTGGGGGTTTTAGTTTGTTTGTTTTGCGGGGGACACACCCAGTTGTGCTCAGGGCTTATTCCTGGCTCTGCGCTCAGGGATCACTTTTGATGGGGCTCAGGAGACCATATGGGGCACTGGAATCAACCCTGGGTCGGCCTCACCCTCTGTCACATCTCTCCAGCCCCTCTTTCAACATTTTAGCAGGTTGGTATATAATACATTGGAATAAGTAGGGGTGCATGAGTTCTTAGGTGTATTTTTCAGTTTGGGGGGCCATACCTGCTCATGTTGAGGGGCTACTCCTGGCTCTGCACTCAGGGATCACTCCTGGCAGGCTCGGGGCACCATATGAGGTGCTGGGGATTGAACCTGGGTCAGCCACATGCAAGGCAAACACCCTCTATGCTATCACTCCAGTTCCCAGCTCGTGTGTCTAGAACAAGGCTTGGTCCCTTTCCCTCCATCAGGCCTTGGATCCATTATTCCCAAAGTTTCTTGATGTGTGAAACGTAGGGGACGGAGAGGTCTCCTTCATCAGATATCTGCAAGGAGTAGATGAGTTTCCACTTGGGAATGTTCGAGCAACTCCCAACATCTGGGCAATGACTGATGAGCTCATCTTTGTACCCAAGGCGGAGTAAAGTGCTGGGCAGGAGATGGAGTTTCAGATCAGACCGGATTCGAACACTTCCTAGTTATGTAGCTTTGGAGACATTATTTGATCTCACTGTGCCTCAGTTTCCTCTGTTATTCCTTAGGGATCTGGCTACTGAGAGGCTTGGTTTGTGCAAATAAAGGAATTAGAACAAGGCTAGCTCATGTTAAACATTCAATTTGCCTGTGTTTATTACCAGAGTGATAAAGCTATCCTTTATTTATTTATTTTTGCTTTTTGGGTCACACCTGGCAATGCAGAGGGGTTATTCCTGGCTTTGCACTCAGGAATTACTCCTGGCGGTGCTCAGGGGACCACATGGGATGCTGGGAATTTATTTTTAATTATATATAACAGTTGAGTGTATTATCTTATGCTCCCCCTCCCGAAAATCACACTGTATAGATGAATTGGGGCTGGGGAGATGATACGGTGGAGAGGGCACTTTCCTTCAGGCGACTGACCTGGATTTGACCTCCAGCACCATGTTAGTCCCCTGAGCCACAGGGAATGATTCCTGAGCTCAGGGCCAGAAGTAGGCCCTGAGCACCCCCAAACAAATAAATACCAACAGAAGCAGATTAATTGGAAGGCCTTGTTTTTTCTTTCTTGTTTCCATCCCTTTCCTGCTGCTGTTGCAGTAAGCGAGTTTCCTGCATATGCTTGCTGTGGGTGCTTAAACACCTGTTCTTGGGTCTCTCGGGGGCCAACTCCATCCATCATTCCATCTCATCCATCCACCCACTGATCCATCCATCCATTCATCCATTCATTCACCCATCCAAATATCCCTTGCTCATCCATCCATCCACCCGCCCAATCACCCAGTTATATATCCATTGATCCATCTCTCCATCCATTCCATCCATTCATCTGTTCATCCATCCATCTATCCGCCTATCCATCCATCCATCCCATTTCCCACCCATCCACCCATCCATCCACCCTCCTGTCCTTCTCTCTGTCCATCCACCCATCCACTTGTTCTTCCATCCATCTACCCATCCTCCATCCATTCATTCACCCAGCATTCCATCCATGCATCTATCCATTCTGCCCATCCCACCCATCCCAAACACCTATTACCCACCCATCCACCTGCCCATTCATCTGTGTACCCTTCCTCCATCCATCTGTTCATCCATCTATCCATCCCACCCATCCATCCACTCACCTACTCATCCATCCATCCATCCATCCATCCACTCCCCTGCCATTTTCTAGGATGACCTAAGGCAGCAATTTAATGCGGCAACATAATACACAGGATCGAGTCAATTAAAATGAGCCTGAAAGTACAAAGAAAGACAAGCTCGGAATTTGGGAGAGGTGAAATGGAACTGAGCTAAGGAACCAGCATCTGTCTTGCGTGGACGGCACAGTGGGCTCTCTGCTTCCTAGCTCGGAAATGCATTTTTTTTTTTCACGCTGTGCACGGCACACGCAGATACAAACAGTCCAATTAGTCAGAGGCTGCCTGAGGAATCTCAGACTGTGCATCATTCAGGCTGTTCTCGGGGGGGTGGGGGGTCCCCATACAGAGGGCCCCTGTGGTTAATGAAGAGTCTCCTTGACAACCTCTCACAATGGAGGCAGTCACCAGGATCGTTGAATTTGCCCCCGAAGTGACTGCATTTTGACTGGTAGCTCTGCAGCTCTGTTCTAGAATGATGGTTTGTATGGTGCCAGCACCTCAGGCCAGAGACCCAGCACTCTGGCATGCTTGTTTCCATGTGCACATGCTAAACTGGGTGGACAGCAAAGCACTGGGTGACCTCAGGGAGCAGCGCAGAAGGGCCACGCCAATGGCATACCTCGCCCCATGCCCCTCCAGGGGCCGTTTTCAAGTCCGTTCACTGTGTGATGGCCATTGCCTCCTGTGGCTGGGGCCGGGGGCTGCCCGGCCTTCATGGCCGTGAGCCTGTTGGGTGGGTCAGTGAATTGGAGCTCCTTCGGCCTCCTCCCAGCCCTGATGTCAGCCCCGCACTCTGGGTGCCACTGCCATGATCCTGAAACCTACAGAAGGAAATAAGCTCCTGAAGATGTAACCAAGGAAGAAGGATTCTTAGGATGAGATGCTGGAGGAATTGAAACTCGGTTAGGAAGTGCCATTCGCTGTGCAGATGCTTCTCAGGGCCCTCTTGGTGCCTGGCTGTGTGTGCTTTGGGATGCGGGCTATGGCATTGAGGGGCGGTAAAATAAAATCAAATCTCTGCCCCATCCCACTCAAGGGGCACCCAGACAAAGCCACTTGTCAGGTGGGAGAATTAACGTCTGGAGAGTGGAGCTGGAGAGTAGCACAGTGAGGAGGGTGTGTGCCTAGCACGTGGCCAACCCGAGTTTGATCCCCGGGACTCCATACTGTCCCCCTAAACACTTCCAGGTGCAGTCCAGCCCTCCACAATTTATTTTTATCTCTAGAGAAAATACAACAGGAAAAAGAGGCAGATGGCAGGGTTTTACTGGAAAGGGCTCTGCCTGCCTGCCTGCCTGCCTTCCTTTGTACCTCCCTTCCCTCCTTCCCTCTCTTCCTTCCCTTCCTTCCTGCCTTCCTGCCTTCCATCTCTTCTTTCCTTCCTTCCTTCCTTCCTTCCTTCCTTCCTTCCTTCCTTCCTTCCTTCTCTTCCTTCCTTCTCTTCCTTCCTTCCTTCCTTCCTTCCTTCCTTCCTTCTTTCTCTTCCTTCCTTCTCTTCCTTCCTTCCTTCCTTCTCTTCCTTCCCTTCCTTCCTTCCTTCCTTCCTTCCTTCCTTCCTTCCTTCTCTTCCTTCCTTCTCTTCCTTCCTTCCTTCCTTCCTTCCTTCCTTCCTTCCTTCCTTCTCTTCCTTCCTTCCCTTCCTTCCTTCCTTCCTTCCTTCCTTCCTTCCTTCCTTCTTTTCCCTCCCTCCCTCCGTCCCTTCCTTCCTTCCTTCCTTCCTTCCTTCCTTCCTTCCTGCTTTTTGGGGTTTTTGTTGTTGTTTTTGCCTTTTGGGTCACACTTGGTGACGCTCAGGGGTTACTCCTGGCTCTGCTCTCAGGAATTACTCCTGGCAGTGTATGGGGGACCATATGGGGTGCCAGGAACTGATGTTTGGTTGGCAGCATGCAAGGCACAGGCCCTCCCCGCTGTACTATCACTCCAGCCCCAGGGCTCTGCATTTCTAAAGAACTTAGTCCAGAATGCTGGTGAGCACTTATAATAAAGAGGTCTGTCCCAGGCTCAGCCAAAATATGTTTCACTGAGGGTCCTGAGCAATAGTTTCAGCAGGGAGGATGCTTGCCTGACACACGCCTGGCCCACCAGGGTTTGATCCCCAACTTCCCATATGTTCCTCTGGGCACCTCCAGGAGTGATTCCCGAGTGCAGAGCCAGGAGTTAGCCAGGAGCATTGCTGGGTGTGTCCCCCCCAAAAAAAACCAAAAAAACAAAAAAAGTGTTTCCTTGAAACTAGAGCAGTAGTACAGGGGTTACGGCACTTGGTTTGGTTACTCAAACCGCGTATGGCTTCTCCAGCTCCACCGGGAGGGACCCCTGACCACAGAGCCAAGAGCAAACCCTGAACTCTACCAGCTGTGGCCAAAGAAAAATTTTTATACCGTTGCTGTGGTGATGGAGTCACATCCAGTGGGCCTCCAGGGTGTGGCCCTTCCAGGGACCACGCGAAGGGCCTCACACTGGCGAGGCATGTGCTGTGCTGCTGGGGCCCCACGCGGAGCCCCTCGGATTTCCCCAATCTCTCCTTTGTCCGCCGCAGAACAACAAAGTCAGGCGTTTTGCCTTCGAGCTCAAGATGCAGGACAAAAGCAGCTACCTGCTGGCGGCGGACAGCGAGGCCGAGATGGAGGAGTGGGTCACGGTCCTCAACAAGATTCTCCAGCTCAACTTCGAGGCTGCCATGCAAGAGAAGCGAAACGGGGATGCCCACGAAGGTACGTGTCTCCCGTGTCTCGCAGGAGGGCCCCAGTCGGCCGTTGGTAGGGTTTGATTTTTCTTTTATGGGGGGGGGGTGTTTTCTTTTTTCAGGGTTTGGGGGGGTCTTCTCATTCAGCAGTGTTCAGGGCTGACTCTTGGCTCTGTGCTCGGAGATCAGTGTTGGTGGGCTTGGGGGACCCTGTGGGGTACCAGGGATTGAACCAAGGTCAGCCATGTGCCAGGCAGACCCCCCGGCCACTGTACTATCATTCCCACCTCATGTGGCCGGGGTGGGGGGGTTAATGTGGGGGCTCTCACGTGGGCAGATAGGGGAGCAGTGGGACCCACGCGAGCCAGTATGGGGCGGGGGGTGGGGTCTATCCGCAGAGATTTCCCCGCCTTAGAACTTGGGTGTCCTGAGAGCACTGGCATACGGAAATCTCATCCTTGCGAGAATCAGGTTGTTCTGGAGCAATAGCACAGCGGGTAGGGCGTTTGCCTTGCACTCGGCTGACCCAGGTTCGATTCCCAGCATCCCATATGGTCCCCCCAAGCACCACCAGGAGTAAATCCTGAGTGCAAAGCCAGGAGTAACCCCTGTGCATCACCAGGTGTGACCCAAAAAGCAAAAAAAAAAAAAAAATCAGGTTGTTGGAGGCGGGAGAGATGACCCTAAGTCCTGAAGTCCCGGTGCCCCAGCCTTCAGCCCGAGGCCCCAGGCAAGCAGGCTGTGGACATTGTCTGGGCCTCAGTTGACTGACCTGAAAAATGGGAATAAATTAGCCCTTGCTGGCGGACAGGAAAACGAAAGAAGTTCGGACTCCATAGCGTTGGCTAGTCTCTATTATGCGAATGACATCATTGATCATATCCTGGGGGATTTTCAAGGGTTTTCAAGCTTTTAGGAGAGGCAGAGAAGCCCCAGACTATACTGGGGGAAAAGTCACACTATTACCAGAGAACTCCAGTTTGGAACATTAGGGCGTTCCACGGGGGGAGGTGGCCTTCTGCCCCCTGCTTTGTCTTTTTTGTTAGTTTGGGGGCCATATCTGGCAGCGTCAGGGCTTACTCCTGGCTCTGTGCCCAGCGGCTGTGGGTGGTGCCAGGGATCGAACCTGGGTCAGCCTCAGGCATGTGTGAGGCAAGGACCTTATCCCCTCTTCTGTCTCTCCTGCCCCATCCCGTTTTGACTCAAATGCAAAGTCAGCTTGAAGTGACGTGTGTTTCACCCTTTTTAGATGATGAGCAGAGCAAATTGGAAGGTCCTGGTTCCGGTTTAGATAGCTACCTGCCCGAGCTCGCCAAGGTAACGTTCCCCTTCACTCTTCTGCTCTGCCTGCAACAAGAATGAACTCTTTCTCGTTCCGCGTGTTCGTCCAGGAGGGACTCAAGGCAAATGTCACTTGGTCGTGAATCAGTCAAGCGCAGGGTCTTGCTCTCTGTTCTCTGCACCCAGGGGTGAAACGTGTCCCTCACCCCTCACCCAAGTTGGGTTCTATCTGCTTCCCAGACTGAGCCTTTTCCTGGTTCCAGAACTTTCTTCACCTGGAGGTCTGATGCCACAGTACAATCCCAGGACGGGGCGTACACCGTGGGCTAAACGTCTCTGCAGGGACATGGGCTGTGTCATGCTCACACACCTTCTCGCTGTTGAACTTAGTTACAGAATACACAATTCTGCCTGTAAAGAGGACAGCCCTGGGCTTATCCTGCTTCTAAACCCCAGAGAGTTTGCCTGAGTTTGGTCAGTTGTTTCCAGGAAACCAAATAGAAGCAAAGTCATAGCTTTTAAAAGTAATGACTTTGGAGACACAAGTTTCTGTCAAATACAACAAAGAATAAAATAGCCACAGAGATCTGACAGCTGTTACTTCTTTTAAGCTTCTACATTTTATTTATTTTTAAAGAAAATTGTATTATGGGGACCTGGAAGTGATAGTACAGCGGGGAGGGCGTTTGCCTTGCATGTGGCCAACCCGGGTTTGACCCCCAGCACCCCATATAGTCCCCCGAGCACCACCAGGAGTGATTGCTGAGTGCAGAGCCAGGAGTAACCCCTGTGCATCGCTGGGTGTGACCCAAAAAGCCAGGGGAAAAAATGTTTTTATCGAATTACAGACACAAAATTACAAAGTTTGTCATGCTGTTTAAATCTCAGTCCTGCAGTGTTGGAGTACCCATCCCTCCACGTCCAGTGTCCACTCCCTCCACTAATGTCCCCAGTTTCCCTCTGCCCCCAGCCCACCTCTATAGCAGTCTCTTTTCTTACATAGAAATAATCACCCCGGATAAGAACTGGGTGAGGGAAGGAGGTAAAGTGATACTCCCAGTAGCTTTCAGTAACAGTATTGCAAACCGCACTGCCTAAACAGATACATTTGAGAGAAGCAAGTAACAGTCACAGTAACAGTATTACAAACCGATTAGTGCCTAAACAGATACATTTGAGACTAGCAAACTCAGTTGATGTTCTCTTTCAGCTCTGTTTTCCTTTTCTTCTTATTTACCCCTCTCCTTCTAGTCCCTCCTTGTGAGATCGGGACAAGGGGGTATGGTCCCTTAGTTGTCGTACTCCAGAGACAGGTGCTCAGGTGGTCCCCAGGATTGCAGACAGCAAAGTGCTCAGAGCGATCACAGCCCATGGATGATGTCGGGGATTGAACTTGCAGCCTCGTGCCTACTAGGTGGGAACTCCACCATGGAGCCACAGCCTAGCATCGAATACCATCTTTACTCCTTGTCTCCTTCCCCCCTGGCCTCAGAGACAACCACTTTTATGAATTTTTTAGGATGACCTAACTTTTAAAAACTGTGCCTATCTATAATTATACCATATCTGTTATGCAGAATTTCCTGACCCTCTCAGAGAGCCCGGCAGGCTACCCAGAGTATCTCGCCCGCATGGCAGAGCCTGACAAGCAACCCGTGGCGTATTCGATATGCCAAAAACAGTAACATAATGGGTCTCATCCCCCTGACCCTGAAAGAGCCCCCAGTACACCATTGGGCTACACTATCACGCAACAGGGATGAATGGAGATGTTACTGGCACCCGCTCGAGCAAATCGTTGAACAGTGGGATGACAAGTGACAAGTGATATCTACTATAATGGAAAATATGATTCACTTTTGTATGTATGAAAACATCATAGAAATGCTAACCGTATTCAGTTAGTTGCTCTCACTTTTTCTGCTCAGCCCGTTTTAGGAGCTGCATCCCAGTTGGTAGATAGAGGTAGTTCTTGCCTTCCTTGTATCGCGTAACCATTTTTAATGGAACTGGTGAATTATTCCCACTGTGTTTTCTCTCACAGACAATGCCGCAGTGAGTAAGCTTGTCGTTGTCTCCTTGTGTGTATCTATGAATGATGCTGTTTTATTTTTTTTTTCCAAATAAGAGAAATATCTTTGTCTTCTTTGGCCCTTTCTATTGTCACTCCTCACTGCCGGCCTGTCTTTTTTTTTTTTTCTCTTTGCGAGGCAGTGAAATCCAGACCCTCCTTACCCGCATCTTAAACACTATAATAGAAAATGTGGCTGATCTATATATGATGAGCGGCTGGCCTGCTCTGAGCACTGACCTTTACTTCTAGACAGGGTGGTGGTTTTAAAATAGAGAACCTCCGTCTCTGGCTGGAACCGTGAGCATTGTTTGTCTTCGGGCCTTGCTTATTACCAGAGTTGTTTTAGCACCTGCCTATTACAGCTAATTTTAGTTGCCACCTCCTTGGCAAGGAAGGGTTTGGTTTTGTGTGTGCGTTTTCATGGTTTCGGTGTCTGGGCCACCTCTCCAGCACGAAGATCTCCACTTTTGGTTCTGGATTCAGGGAAAGGTTCATTTCTCAGCAGAATAGTTGAAACTGGTGCGTGTGTTAATGCAGACATCGGAGGCAAAGAGAACTCCGAAAGCAGCTTCCCAGTCTGACCGGGTGAGCCCTGCAGAGACCTTGGGAAGTATTCCAGACTCTTAAGGAGGGACGGGGAAGCTTTATTGCTTCCTCTGAAGATGTCCCTTTTGTCTCCCAGGGAGAGTTTTAAACTGCATGAGTAGAGAATGTGGGAGAGGGAAAACGAAAACAACATATTCAAAGTTATTTTCAGATTGCGAGTAATAACCAAATAGCCGGAACTCTTAACAGTTGGTAAAACTGACTTCATCGGCTTCATCCATCCTTCCTTCCTTCCTTCCTTCCTTCCTTCCTTCCTTCCTTTCTTCCTTCCTTTCCTCCTCCTCCTCCTCGTCCTCCTCCTCCTCCACCTCCTTCTTCTTCTTCTGCTCTTCCTCCTCTTCCTCCTCTTCCTCTTTTTCCTCATCCTCAAGAGCTCCTGTAGCCCCTGGCATTCCCAGTCGGACATGGCTAACTCCCACCCAGATGGAGGTGTGGAACATTCCCAGGCCCCTGCTCATCTCTACCTGCTCCCTGCTGACGCACCTGGTTGGTTATCTGACCCCCTTCACTGTTGACTAGGTCTGATGCCGTGGCCATTCAGCTCTGTGCCCCTGAGTGCCAGGCTTCTGGTCTGTGCCCCTGGGTGCTCTGGTGCTTCCGCAGCACGGTAGCCTGAGACCCAGATTTTCCAGATACCCTGCAGGACGGGCATGTGGGAGCATATTGGCATGCTCTGCCCTGCATAGCAAGAGGCAGTACTTCACATAAATACGTGCATGCGTTTGCCTATGCCGTGCTGGGTGTGTGTTTGGCTGTGAGGTAACATGCGTGTTCGTACAGCAGGACTCCGTGGAAGCTGGGGAGCAGCCCTGCCAAGGGCCTCGTGATCCCTCCCCCAGGGCTTTAGAGAGAGTTCTATTGTGAGAGGCGGAAAGAATCAGGAAAAGGAGGGGCCTGTCCTGGGCTCGCGGGGAGCCTCTGTCCCCCCCGGTGGCCCAACCCCAGCCCCTGGCAACCCAGGCCTTAGCACCACTGCCCTCCAGCTGTCCCCAAGCCCTTATGGCCAGTCTGGTGAAGGAGAGGATCGTTTGTACCCTCGAAGGGGTAGGGACCTGAGGTTGAAGACTTGAGATTGGGCCGGGAAGGCTGGAGGGGCAACACAGCTGTTCAGGGGGAGTTTACACAGGGAGGAAGAGGTGGAAGTCAGGGCCCAGGGAAGGGACAGCTGAGAAAGCAGGGGCAGGAGGCACTGGGCCAAGCAGAGGCGGCGGGGGAGGGGGGACGGCGGCAGGCACTGGGGCAGGGCATGGGCGAGAGGAGACTCTGGGCAGGGCAGGGGGGCAGGGGTCACACTAAGGGGGAGGCCCTGAGCCAGGCAGGGGCAGGGAGGCACTTTGGGCACAGGGCAGGAGCGGGAGGAGGCATTGCACTGGGCAGGGGAGGAAGGGGTACTGGGCAGGGCAGGGGCACGAGGAGGCACTGGGGCAGGGGAAAGGAGCAAGGAGACACTGGTGGTGGGGGGAGGCTCTGGGGCAGGGGAGGGGAGGGAGGAGGCACTGGGCAGGGTGGGGGACACTGAGCAGGGCGAGGGCAGTTGGGTGGGGGGAGGCATTGGGCAGGGCAGGGATGGGAGGAGTCACTGGACAGGGCAGGGCAAGGGCAGTTGGGGCGGGGGGAGGCACTTGGCAGAGCAGTGGCGGGAGGAGGCTCTGGGACAGGGGAGGGGAGGGAGGAGGCATTGGGCAGGGCAGGGGGGAAGGGGGCACTGGGCTGGGCAGAAGTGGGTGCGGGTGGGTCCCGTTGCCCCCTCTGCACCCGTTTCCGTGTCCGGCCCCACCCACACGGGAGCCGCTCTGGCTGCCTCGGGGCTACCCCATACAGCCCTGCGCCCAGCGCTCTCTCAGGCTTTCTGAGTGTTTTGTAGGCTCCGGGGCCCCGTTTGTACATCTAGTCCCCAGCCACTTTGTTGTTTCCTTGCTGGGGACACGCCGTATCTCCCCCGAAACCTGCTCCTTTCCTCCCATTGTCTCCCCTGGAACCAAACATACATTGTCAGGGGACAGTGTTTATGGTATCAGAGCCCGGGCGGCAGAAACGTTTTCATGGGAAGCACAAACAGCCCTTTGAGACCAGCCCTCCCGGCTTCTGCCCTGTCCGCCAGGGCCCTGGGCCCAGGTTGGAAACCCACAACTGTCTCTCGCACGGTCTCTTTCTTAGGAGTCTCTGAGCTCCTGCCTCCTCCTGATGTCGGACCGAAACACTCACACACCCACCCTCCCGCCGCCCTTTTCTTCCACAGCTTCTGGATTCAGAGTCTTATTTTTGCACTCAACAGCTGCTTGGCTTAAATGGACCCTCCCCCGGGCCCCCATGTGGTTCTCAAAGAGTAGCATTGTTTTATGTCGATTCCCACAGT